AAACTCAAGTTGGATTTGTCGCTGGCGGAGGTTTATACTGGGAAGAAAAATGATATGATAGACAGGCATGTTAGGGTGTGTAATGCTGCAGCAGAAACAAATAAGGCATATATATATATATATTTATATTATTACATACATTGTAGATGCTTTGCATTTTATTCCCTTTTAAATCCCCGATATATTTTGGCCTAAAAACTCCAAACCCCTCACTTCTTCTTCATCTCTTCATGCTGTAAAGTTTTCACAGAATCAAGCTTTTTATTCCCCAAATCAAGTCTCCTGAAGAAGAGGAGGAGGCTCCCACTGTGTGTTTCCAGCTCGGCTCAAGCTGCTGCAAACCAGCAGTGATTTGATGAAGTGACAGCGATTCCACTTGTTTGCCCAATGCTTCGACTTGATCAATTACCACGGCGACACTCTCCCCGGCAACCACTTACAGCAGATAGCGGAGCAAACCTAAAGCCCTCATGAATAAGAAAATCCAATAGGGAGAAGGGAACGACACAGAATACAGGAGAAAAAGAGGGGGAAGATGAAGAGTGGGAGGCACAAGAAAGAGTCAAAGATGATAAGGGAGAGCGAGAGGGGAGGAGGGAGGGGCAGAGAGATGGCAGAGGAGAGAGAAAGAGGGCGAGACGGGAGCTGGAGAGGAGGCTCTGCCGCTCCGTGGCCTCGCCGGCTGCTGCTGAACGAGGGTTTGAGAGATTCTTTCTCTTTCAGTGTGCGTCGCACAGCGGGGCGTCGTAGGGAGGCGACCCGCCCGGACCACAGATACATCGTCCTTTAGAGAGAGACGGAGACATAAAGACGCCTGGAAGGGCCAGGGGATGTTCATGTAAAGGACTGCTTCCGCCAGATTAACAGAGACTAAATGGTTTTACTAAGAAATAAATCTGATTTTGGCCCCAACAGTAACACAACAAAGAGGCGGATGTTGTCTTTTAAAAAAAAATAATAATCTCATTTCAAAATATGTAACCAAAACATTTTTTTTTTGATGCAGTTTTCAGTTAACTCCAGACAAATGTTAATATCAGCACTGTTTCCTCAGCAGATGGTCCCACACACACTGTTCACATAGGAAGTTCATGGACCGTTTTGAGAAAGATTTTGAGTGGATTTAAAAAATAAATAACAGACATTTATTAATGTTATGAGCAAGACAAATAAAAAAACCTCAAAACCAAACCAAATCTCCTAAAGTCACCTCCAAAAAACCACATCCAAACAATGAGGTGGAGCTCCTCTTTGTATCCGTGTGAATGAATCCTCATACGGGGAGTTGATTCCACTGAATCCTCCCAATTCAGAGGATTTCTTCCCACACAACTGCAGGGATTTAAGATTAAGACTCCAAAGCTAATTTCATCAACACCAATTAGCTTCCTAAAATATGACAAAACAAAGAATGAACAGCCCCGCAAGTCGAGCAGGCCGAGCTGCTCCCCGAATCCTGAACTCCGAGACGGCTTAGCTCCCCCGACCCCCCCGACCCCCCCACCACCCCCCTCCTCCAAAACAGAAAAAAACCTCACAGAAGTTTAGCACAGTGCAGGAAAGTGAGCGTGAACTGAGCTCTTCAAGGTGTGAAACAGCTATTTGAGAATGCGCAGTCAAAATGTGACCACCTGCAGTCTGAGCGGGAGAATCAACAAGCGGCATCCAGAATTAGAGCTGTCGACCCGGGAGAACGTGACACTGAATACATTCATTAGGATCATTCACACAACACCGTTGCCAGCGCAGAAAGATGCTTTTAGACTGACAATCTTTGCTCATCCTCGGTCTCTTTGTTGCTCTGATTTGGACCTAAAGTTCTGGAGCAAAACAAGTGTGAACTTTTCCTAATCTCACCTTTCTACCTCCATTTATTTGTCCACCAGTTCCCATTCCGTCCAAGCTGAACGGGTCGTCCCTGTCCATCTTGTCCCTGGGTAAGGACGGCCTGGGGATGGGATCCGTGTCCAACCCGGCCGAGGTGTTCTGTTCGGTCCCGGGTCGCCTCTCGCTGCTCAGCTCCACCTCCAAGTACAAGGTGACGGTGGGGGAGGTGCAGCGACGCCTCTCTCCACCTGAGTGCCTCAACGCCTCCCTGCTGGGTGGAGTCCTGCGCAGGTGAGAGGGAGATGGGGAATGAAGGGGGGGGGGCAGCCTGAGATAACCTATTTGGACTTTGCTTAAATCTTTGATTTTGCTGTAGCGGTTCGCCTTATTAAAACAAAAAAAAAAAGTTAAAGTGTAACAATCTTTGGTTTATGTCCCAGCTTGTAGACTTATGGAATCACTTAAATAAATGGAGTTCAGAGGAACACAGCTGTTTTTGGTGGTGCATCTTTCTTCTCGCTGGGGAAAATGTGTGATTTGTGACTTTTGTCTTTACAAAAGGCTTTTAATGGAGTTGAATAACTGGCTGAACGTATGTTGCAAATACAATATATTCAATGCACATATCATTCAAACGTCTAGCAAAAAAATAGGTGTCTCTTTGGCACTAGTTTTTACAAAAGTGAAAAATGAAATCCACCACAAGGGAGCTGTGTCGCTTAAATGAATAGTCGAAGGAAGAAACAGGATCGAGGCATTTTTGCAGTGTCAGCAAGGGTAACTCTCCTACAGTCCATACAAACAGCAACGTCCTCATGCTGCTCGCAAAAGTCACTGTGGGAAATGCAGGAAATCAGATTTGATTTGAGGGGGTTAGTTAAGGGTTGGTTAAGTTGACGACATGCCAGATCCTACCACTTCCTCGTGTTGGATCACTGGGTTTCAGTTGTTAGTATAAAGAAACAGCCTCTTGGTTTGAAAAGACCAATACCAACCATGTACGCTATTGTGCTGAAGCTTTTCAGAATAAGAGCGTTTCGACTTAACTATGGGGCCAGAGCGGAGGACCCAAAATGGGTCATGGGACTAAATCACAAGAGAGGCAATGTGGTTGAATGAAGCACCGCCGCGGGGCAAGAGAACAACGTTATGGTCGGGGATACAGGCTGAAATACTTTAAGAGGACACAATTAAAAGGTCTAATACATAAAACACAGAGATACAGCATTGTCTTTTCATTTTGACATACTTGTGCTTAAGTATTTTATTGCGTATCTACACTGTAAATCAACCACCAAGACTGTAAAGTAATATGTAAACAGTGCTGCTTCCACTTTAACACAATACATAGTCTACAACGTATCAATAAAACAAAATAAAACTCTCAGGAGCCATGTTTTAATAAGTGCTTTTATTTTTTTTAAGATTTTGAATGCGGGACATATTTTGACACATGTGATACTGTTGATACTTTTACTTAAATTCTCCAAACACTTCTTTTGCCAGCGCTGCTCGTCATATAAATACTTCCAAAATATTCCTGTACCAATAGTTATTCAAATGTATTTAAATGTATACTTAGGAATAAAGGAAGGGGTGAGATCAGGGAGAGGAAAGTCAGGCAGCAACTAAAATCTGTGAAGAGAAATACAAGACACTATCAGTGTTGACAGGGAACATACTGCAGGGAGATTTCCGCCTCACATTCACTTACATAAACGCACACATAGACACAGGAGCGCACACACAAACACACTGCTACCAAGCTCATAAACACACACGCACAAGGACCATCTCCTAAAAACTGCTCTCTCTGTCTCCCTGTCCCCCCTCAGGGCGAAGTCAAAGAATGGTGGCCGCTGTCTGAGGGAGCGTCTGGAGAAGATTGGCCTCAACCTGCCCGCCGGGCGACGCAAGGCCGCCAACGTCACTCTCCTAACCTCTCTAGTGGAGGGTAGGGAAAACACACGCACACACATGCACGGGGTGACCTGCATGCATCCTGATAGATGGAGACACATATTCACTTAGAAACATCCTCGCATGAGCAGGCATGAATAAACAAGTCAAAGCACGGGGGGGGGGGGGGGCCTGCATGCGTGGATGGTGTCATTAAAAAAAAAAAAAAGAAGAAGCTGCTGGCTGCAAAGCCAAAGAGCAGTGAACTGTTTGAGTGGTGAACGTGAGAAAAATGGCTGCAGAGCTCTCGTCTCCTGACCCAAAACAGCGCCCTCTGAACGGTGTGTCGTCGTAACGGCATATATGTGCATAATTGTGGGACATCAATCCATGACCTTTAGCTGCACAGATGACTAAGAGTTTTCCCTTTTTGTACTAGTTAAGAACCAGATTCTAACAGATATCCTCTCCTCCTCCTCCTCCTCCTCCTCCTCCAGGTGAGGCCGTCCATCTGGCGCGGGACTTTGGTTATGTGTGTGAGACAGAGTTTCCAGCGCGAGCAACAGCCGAGTATCTGTGCCGGCAGAGCGAGCCGGACCAGCTCCCAACACGGCGCAGCATGCTGCTCGCCACCAAGTGAGTGCTTCACCCCCCCCAGAGACTCTAAACGTTGAAGGAGATGACACGGTGGCATCTGGATTGCTACATCCACTCACGTCAGGTTTTACGAGAGGGGAGAACTACGTGTAGATGTATCGAGTTCTGTAATCAACCACAAGGTGAATCTGTTTTAGAAGAAGAATGCAAAACAATGTCAAGAAAAGCCCCTAATTGGACTTGTGAGACACCCACAAACTCATCATTCAGGTGTCAATCTGGTAAAGGGACAAAAGGATTCCACGTTGAGGGTTTTTCCATCTCAAGGTGCCACAAGCATCCACCTGACGTCTCGTCCTTTGTGTCTTCTCAGGGAGATCTGCAAGGAGTTCGTGGACATGATGTCCCAGGACCGCTCTCCGCTGGGCGGCAGTCGACCCACCCCCTGCCTGGAGCCCGGCGTCCAGGGGAGCCTCACCCACTTCAGCCTGCTCACCCACGGCTTCGGCACTCCCGCCATCTGCGCCGCGCTCTCCGCCTTCCAGAGCTACCTGATGGAGGCCATCAAAATGCTGGACAAGGGGGAGGGTGGAGGGAAGAACCACCACGACAAGGAGATGAAGCACCGCAAATAGAAACAGGGGGACGGACGGACGGGACGTGCTCGCGGATGGATGGACCGGAGGCGGGAAGGGGGGGGGGGGGGAAAGAGGGAGGGGGTGGGTGAGGGGAACTCAAGTGCTGCCCCTCTGAGTCTTCACCCTCACCCTCAGGACAAATACTGAGACTTTCACCTCCCGGGGGGAAAAAAAACAACCCCTCTGCGGCCCCTCTGGTCCAGGAGGCGGGGGGCCGTGATGATATCTGTACTGTAATGTGTGTCCACAACCACCTCACTCAACATGACGCATGGACTCTCTCCTCAGTAGCTGGTTTGTGTCACGGAGGCGTCTACGAGACACCTCTTCAGGATGAGCTCCTACATGTGGCTGTATTTACCCCCCCACCCCCCACCCACCCACTTTTCGTTTGATTTTGGTAAAACATGTCAACTTTATCTGTGTTTTAGAAACTCCTGCCTCCATCAGTCTCTCTCTCTCTCTCTCTCTCTCTCTCTCTCTCTCTCTCTCTCTCTCTCTCTCTCTCTCTCTCTCTCTCTGTCACACACACACACACACACACACACACACACACACACACACACTTGGTTTTTCCTGAACTGGTCTGAGAAGTGTCTTAAAGCCTTATCCAGGACCACGACCCGCTCTTTGCTCTTCTTGAACTTTGGGAGACTTTTAACTCCCCCTGATGGGACACACACAGCCTCCACATGTAGTTCTTCTTAAGGGGTGGTCAGGGGAAATTGAGTTTTTGGGCGGGGGGGGGGGGGGGGTGTAAGGGGGAGTCAAAGGCAGCTAAAGGAGATTTGGTTGCTATTATTTTGAAGTGCTGCGTGTTGGTAACTTAAGGAAGTAACACAAATCATTTTGTACTTTCAGTGTATGTTTATTATTAATGTTATTACTGTTGTTATTATTATTGTATTACTGCATAAATGTAATATATTATTAAAGAACTAACTGATCGGTTTAGTTCCGTGGCTGTGTTTTTTCTTTTCTCATCTGGGATATTGGAACAATTAAAAAAGTAACGACACTTTCCGTTACCTTTAGTCTACAACTGCCAACTTTTCAATCCAAAAGGTGGTGACGGTTTTTATTTGTCACAATACTGCTATTTGTTATTGATCCGTGAGGCCTGAGTCTACTGTGACTTCACCAGGAAGGTCACAGCGGGGGCTGCAAATAACACTTAATTTCGTTATTGATTGATGTGTCGATTTGTTTTAGGTCAATTGCTCTGTCTATACGATTACTTAAAATAGTGAAAAATGTTAGATTCCTGTGACGTCTTCCCTTTATATTATATTATTATTATAACACCTGAAAATCAAAGAAAGTTTATAATGCAATTTGAAATGGTTTCAACACTAAAATCTTTCAATTTTTTTCACTTTGGTCCAGACTGAAATATCTACACAGCGTTTACACTGGTGCCGTTAACCATGAGACATTCGTGTTTCCCAGAGGATGAACCCAACTTACTTCAGTGGTCCTTTGACTTTCCACAGATCAACATGTTCACTTAGCCGGTGACATTGTCCAACATCTTCTTGGAATAACAATTTGTCAAACATTCGTGCTCTCCAGATGACCCCCCCTGTCAGGTGATTTTCCTCCAGCGGCGTCAAAAGCCGTCAAAATCTCCACGAATTTTAAATAGATTGCCATGAAATTTAGTTACACGATGAACTCTAATAACTTTAACCTTGTGCCATCATCAGGTCAGACTTGTACTTAGGGAATGTGAGCATGCTGACCTGCTAACTGAACCCGGTAAACCTGCTGATGTCTTGCTGATAAATGACTTAAACCGCTAATTCGACATTGTTGTCAAGGCTTCTCTGGGTCCCCTGGACAACACATGGACTTGTTGTTTTACTCGTCGAGCTGCGGCTTGCTAACACAGGAGCTTGAGTTAGTGGGCACGCGGGCCCCAACGGGCCCCTCCAACCACGAAAATAAGTCACGGCTTCCAATAATCCACAGGGGACTCCAGCAGGGGCCCCGGTGAGCGCCGCACCTGGGAGAGCGCAGGCAGCCGTGTGACATCCAGCGCACAACAAGCCACACACACACACACACACACACACACACACACACACACACGCATCAACCCATCTGTTTCACATTTCTCCGACCACCGCTCGCCTCCCCTGCTCAGCCCTTCACGTTATTTAACCAAGACGAGATACTCAACGCAATTGCTGCTTTCCAGGGACGGCGCGCGTACACGCGTCGCCCCGCTCGTTCCCTCTCAGACATCACACACTGCTACCTGCCCCGCGTCTCCCTCTCTCCCCTCCCATCTCATTACCCCGCTGTGTCAACCGCCCCCCTCATACCTTCATCTCCCACTCTGTAACCTAACCCCCCTCCTCCCCATCCTGTTCACCCCCCCCCCTCCCCTCCTCCCTCCCCCTATCCTCTCCCTCTATCTGACACTCAGCGGGGCCGCTCCCCATCTCTCCCTGTGCCTCCAGGCACAACATATGCTGCTCTTCCCGTCAGATTCCGGTGTGTTTGAGAGAGGAGGGATTGTTTAATGTTTATTAATCACCTGTCTGTGGTGGAGACAGTGATAGCGCCACACACACACACACACGTTTACACATGGGCTGTCTCGCTCACAACACACAACACACAGACACACACACACACACACAAACACGCTGTGATGTTACCAACGCCGCCTGGTTGTTCCATTTACAGCTGTATACGAATCCGCTTGTTTACTGTAACACTTGCTGTATACAGTCAAAATCTATTTCAGACACTACTTTTCTTAAGCAAGTCAAGTACTAAAAACATTCAAAATACGCTGTTGATCTGCTGCAAACTGTCTTCAGCATGGAGATGTTGTTTCACGTATGTATTACTGACAACGGCGTTGCATTTCCATTAGTTTGAGTGCTGTCAGCGTGCCGGAGTTCAATGTTTCCTTAAGAAAATTTGGTATATATTTGATCAAATGGGAGCCGATGGATTGTAAAATTGAATTCTTTAAGCGCATGACAAATAAAGACACACTGAAATAATGTAGACGGGGCATTCAGAGTGAGTAAACCTGCATGTTCACTGTTTTTAATCAAAGACAAAAATGTTCTTTCTGTATGTCAACAGTACAAATTGTGTGTGACATCATTGACCTATGGAGGGTCACATTACTGTGCGTGTGGAGCCTCAGTACGGTTACAGCAAAGTCATCGTGCTCTCGTCACTCGTGGGGAGATCAAAAGTGAGCCGTGGTGACGGAGACTCAGTCTTCTGAAGAAGACGGCCGTGACACGGGACCGCAAATGGCCGGGAAGAAAAGCGAGCGAGCGGACCTTGATTTAGGATCCACCGTGGTGATGCTCACAGGACCAACGTTACCCATCGGCCCACTCGGGTCAGGGCTCCAATATATTCTAAATACTGACACTGCGTCACAGAGGTGTTAATAAGGCTTCCCGCTCATTTCAAATCCATTTCCATGGCTGTATTGCTTTTATTAAACTTCAACGTTCAATGCTGCCAAGTCACACAGCAGCTAGCAGTAAAGCTGCTAGCGTCATCAGTAGTATGCTAAATTAAATTGGAATTTTCCAGACAGGGATTCATAAAGTATTCTTCCTTCTTCTCGTTTTTATAGCTTGGAAATTACACAATAATAAATAGTTTTGAATCACCATATAAACTAAACACGATCGCCTTTACATCTGCATTAAATACTAACAATATCTATACGCAGTTTGGTCATTCAGGGAACAAAACTATTTTTTCCATTTCTAAGTTAAACCATGTGCATGCGTGTTTCATTACACGTGTACAAGTATGAGCAAGTGTACATTACCCACACGCACGCTCAGTACAAGTGCAAAAGTACACAGCCAGGAGGCTGTTCTCTTTCTATGTGCAGATGAGTAGACTAGAGAGCAGAGAGAAAGCACCACAGGGACAGAGAGCTTGTATCTCAACTGTGTGTCACTTTTTATTGGAACAGCAAGAGCAAGGAGGTCAACGGTACAAAAAAAAAAAAAAAAAAAGGGAAAGAAAGAAACGAGGGCGTGAGGGTTGGTAGTTAAGCAGTGAGCGGTCACTTTGTGCCGGAGGTGAGCTTCTCCAGGTCATGGATGCCCTCCTTGTCAATCACTCGGACGGTGAAGGAGGGGAGGTTCAGGATGAAGCGCTTGTTCAGCTGGGGGGGAGAGAGAGAGAGAGAGACAAGAACTATTAAGAAAAAAGAAACGAACGCAAACCCATCAACGAGAATACACAGGACCCCGCATGCTTAGTAAAGCCTCAATTAACAAAAAGAAAATAGATTAAAAATGACACAAATTTGTTATATGTCGCGAACTTATTCGCTCCATCTGCAAAGATTTATCAAGGCTTGCTGTGCGGCTCGAAGACGGAAATTCCTGCAAATCAAAATAGAAAAACAATGATTTCTTCCTTATTAACTATTTTTCAGTGAAAGCAGTCGCGCGCGCGCGCGTCCTCTGTAATCCCCCTCGGCCCCGAGGTTGAGGTCAGCTCAAAGGTCGCCGGGGATTGAGCCGACGTTGTCTCTTTTGGACTCCCGGGGTTATACAAAAAAAAAAAAAAATCCCCAGTGACAAAATCCCGGCGAGAGGGAATCGAACACAGAGGACACTTTCTCTCTCCGAGAGGGGGGGGCAACATAATTAACTATTTTATAAAAATCTTGGCGTTTTTATCCATTTGTTCTACAACGGAAGCCATAAAACTCCTGGAACTCACTTCCCCAATGCACTTTTTCAGCAGATCCAGGCCCTCTTTTCTGGTCGGTTTTAAAACAAAACAAACGGAAAAAGGAAGACCAGGGGGGGGGGGGGGGGGGGGGGGGGGATGGCCAAGACACCAATTAGATTATAACGGAGAGGAAAAATGGCCTTTAATAACTAAGAAAGCAATCTGAGGACAGATAACAAGCTCAAATTGCTAAAAGCACTTGATTCTAGTTTGTTGGACTTATTAGGGATGTTTTCACTGCAAACCACGGAGCCATTAGCAAACAAACTGTTGTCTTGTTTCTTGTTTCAAGTCGCTTGCCATCAGAGGAAATCATCTCTCTGGAGTCCGTCCTGTGTCACCGCTCATGGCCTTCTTTTAAAAAGGACAAAGACGCGAGAGGTTTGCACGAGCCCTTTCCGTGCACCGACCTGGTCTGTAGTGCTGGTCCAGGATGGAGAGGGTGAGGAAGGCCCCGTAGCCGTGGCCGGCGAAGGGAGCCTTGCCCAGGGACGACAGTTAGTCCATGTAGTAGAGGCCGGGCCCGTCCGCGTCGTCGTAGCCCGCCAGCAACAGGTTCACGTGGTACGGCGTCTGGACCCAGAGGGGGGGGGGGGGGGTTAAGAGTTTGTTTGCGCCAGTATGTGAGCC